TTTCATAAGGGTGACTATTGGTGGGAAGCAAAACCAACTGCACTCAAGCGAATGGCTGACCAAAGGCTCTTCCGCAATTTCTGTAAAGTTCGTCTCACTAAAGGCGCCCGCGGGCCTATATTTCGTCTAACTAAAGGCACCCTTTGGCCTTGCGGAATTACTGCGCCGCCGCCATGCTGTCAGATACTGCCTCTCGCGCACAGGGAGAAGCACAAAAGCCTACTTGTCTACCAGTCCTGAACTTTCCTCCACTACCTCCGCGGCCATTGAGAAGCTGTGGTTGGCCAGGTAGACGCCCGCGTTAGCCACCTCCGCCTTCTCTTCGACGGAGCTCCAGTACTCGTCCTGCAGCATGTTCGGGTGCTCGTCGGCCTGCGGGTCGGCCAGGAGATACGACATCTGCGGGGAAGGGAACGCATTATTTGGCGCTGGCCTTTAAGTTTGTGCTGTTGGTCTCGTATGTTTCTTCAATGCCTGGCTTTACGCATCCTTGTGAGAAAGAATGTTGGAGATATCTATCCTGTGAAAAATGTAGAAAAAAACATCTTTGTTTTTCAGTTTCTCATGACATGTAAAAATAGAGCAGCCAGCCATGAAGTTATCAGAATAAGGCGGCAGCACGGCCCATCGACTTCAACGGCAGCTCAAGCAATACCTCGAGATGCCTCTTGACGAGAGCGACGAATTCGAAGTCGTGGTCGTCCTCGCCGAACGGGTTGATGAGTGACTCGGCGACCTTGAGCCAGCCAATGTAGAAGAAGAACTGGAGCAGCGTGAACACGGGCACGTACAGGTCGATGATCTGCTTAGTGTGCATCGGGTCCAGGAACTGCTCGCCGATCACGGAGAACAGGAAGAAGGAGTACACGGCGATGGTCACAACCTGCGTGCACGGGGGGGGGAGGGGGAGAGCAGGAGATCGGTTCACACGGGAGCATCTTGGCCTAAGGATATACTCTTGTATCATATATGGCTTGTATCAAAATAGCAAAATAGAGGGGAGGGAAGCTTTGAATGAGAATAGATATGTATTTGACCGATTCCGACTATATCTTCGTCAGAAATATGCATGCACTCCTGACGATGATATAATCGGAACCGGTCATATACATCTCTTGCGTTGTGATGGTATTCATTTTCACTCATACCTTTTTCTGCATGTCTCGATGAACGCTTGCAAAACAGACAGTGTTATCCTAAGATTTAAAAAGCAGCAGGAATTCTGCGTAAACGCTCAGAATATCGTCGATTTTATGAACATACAAATGGCGCTCAGTAATCTGTGAAAGTAATATTCTAACTATTTTTTTTTTCGGAAACTATGCACTACGGCTTTCCCCTTTAGGTCAGGCGAGCAAATAAGAGCACACGCGGCGTCACCTGCGTGTACACCAGAGGTATGTTGTACTCGTCCCAACCCAAGATGTCGCCGCAGCATCCGCGCAGACGAATGATCTCGTCCGTGAGCGTCTTCTGCGTGACGTCGTCCTTGACGCGCCCCTCGCGCCTCGCCCGTTCCACGGTCTTGCACGCCCACATGAACGGCACCCACGTCTTGTGCACGGCCGTCTTCTTCTCCATGCCCTCCAGGATCTCACGCTCGTTGGCCGTCAGGTAGCCTGCGGCAGGAGGGGGCACACAGAGATTAGTTTCAACAGATGCAGATATATAAAAGATATAAGAGATCGGTTTACAGTTTACCTATATCATTATAAGATTATGTAATTCACACACACACACACACATACACAGTCATACACACACACACACACACACACACGCACGCACACACACACACACACACACACACGCACGCACACACACACACACACACACACACACACACACACACACACACACACACACACACACATATATATATATATATATATATATATATATATATATATATATATATATCTGCCGCACTCACCGGCATCCACGAGCTGCTGCAGCGTCGGGAAGTTCTTCTTGACGCCCGGGGCCACCATGGCGAAGGTCATGACGAAGGCCAGGTTGAGGTAGCGGACCACCGTGCAGCGCAGCATCCTGCCGATGGCGTCCTGCGGAGGAGGCGAGGATTTGGAGACACGGGGACGAGGGAGAAGGCAGGAGGAGGCAAATCAACATGTCTGCCGCTTTGGAAGTGCCAAGATATGGCGGCCGCGATTCTTTCCCTCAGTAAGATGGTGTTGATATCAACGATCATAATGATCTCAAAAATCATAATGACTGTCATCAGCATTAAAATCATACCAATCATCATCAACTTTTTCGTCCTCTTTATCATAATCACAGTTATTATCATCTTCGTGCTTATTTGACAATAATGCTAATAATACAAAGTGACTAATAAACAAACTAAACACTGAACGGCAGCGAGAGGTCAAGACAAGCCCATGGCCGCTCCCAGCCTTCGGCGCCGGCCCTGACCTGGCCCTGGACGTGCGTGGACAGGAGGATGCAGCACGTGTCCGGCCAGGGGATGCTGAGGTACATG